ATAAATTTAAAGTTCAATACTCATCTAGCAAATCATAAAATAATTTGTCCTTCATGGAAAGTAATCCATGAGTCGTCACAGAATGTTTATCCTGCCAGTGCACTAGATATATTTGAAATCCACCATCACTAATAGGCAAAATCCAATCATCTAAAGTAGCTTTAGGAACAAGCTGCATGGATTTATTTAACAAATTGTTGGATATGAATTCACAAGAGAGAAAGAGAGAATAGTCTAAAGAACTAGCAATAATTTCATAAAATAAGATCAAATCAGAAAAATTGAAGACCAGACCAACAGATAATTTCATGGAATTTCCAAGCTTTAAGAAGTCTGAAGGCGCTATTTATCTCACATTCAATTTCTTAAAGGTTATGAAGGTATCGTTTCTTAATTCAAAGTACCTTATCTTATCATCATTACCTAATCTCCATTCACATCACCAGAAAACTTATAATCATCACAAGTAGTAGAAAATTTATGTGAATATCTTCATGCAATTTAAGCAAATATCTCGATGAAATAATATGAAATTTAAAAATAGACAAACCACATAAACATGATATGTGTATATGTAAGCTAGTCCAAATGATATAAATATAAATTGTGATGAATTATGCGCTTAAAGAAATTACTAGATAAAAGAAATTTAAACTTTAGATATGCATCAAGGTTTTCGTCATTAACAAATTCCCTAAAATAATCGTGCAACCAAACTGTCTCCATAATACTTTTTATGAATTATTATGGCACTAATTAAAGAATAAAAGACAAAATCAACATTAAATGATTGGTCATCATTGGAATAACAACAATAGACAATTCATTAAGGGTTCCATTTTTTTTAATTGCTTAATAGATTCATCAAATATAATAATCATGATTAATAATTCAATTTCGAAACCAAGTATAAGTTCAATCCTTATTGATGGTTTGGAATTAGATATGATCTCAAGCTTAATTTTGAATTTAAACTCTAATTCTAACTCATGTAGTATATGTTTAGATTCATGAAAATGATTTACTGTGGGTGCAAATTTATATTCATTAAAATTAGATATAGACTGACATTGAAATATAAATCTTTTTACCTCTAATACATCATATAAAGAATATTCATAAACTTTAATTTCTTTAGTAAGATCATATTTCAATATCTATGATTATTATGTTGGTGTACGTTTGACAAGTTACAGAGAAAAAGATAATGATTTCTCTTTAATTTGAAGGTGTGGTTGACCTAACTGAAATGATAGTAGCATACTTAAATATTCATTGATCTAGTTAAAGCCTCAAATTAATTTTTGAAAAATTATAGCATTATTCATCCCCTAATCTCTAATAGTAACAAAATAGTCTTGGAGGAAATGTGCTTAGAAATAAGACTCATAAACCTATCATAATAATCAAATATGCTAGAACCACTTTGTTAACAATATTCAATTGACACATGTATTCACCAAATGACATATATTACTCTTTAAGTATATATTTTAAGTGAGCTCATGTAGGTTTAGTCTTATTTTCAATATTTTATTAAAATGATTGAGTTGTCCCATTAATTTTGACATAGCAAATTCAAACATTTCAAAATAAAATAAATGATAATAATCCAAGAAGTATTCAAGATTATCAATCCATTTTTAAAAATTCCTACAAGCTATGCCTCTTATTGAATGTAGGAATATAATTTTAGCAACAATATGTTTATATATAACGATAACTTACTTTCTCTTATTTTAATTGAATCATTTTTAAATTTTTTTTCATAATTTAAATCATCGTGTCATACTTCTAGTTGCAATGATGATACCATAGGTTGTGATACCAAATTGATGAAGGATACTTAAAGGTTTAGGGAACTTCATGCAACTTGGATGACACAATGAAAATCATATTAAAACGAATATTAGGATTCATAGACAAAACCACTAAATACACAAATCTTTTTTTTAGGTGTAAACTCAAAATATGTGACAGAGAACTAAAAGAATAATATAACGACCAATCAAATTTGAGGAAATCAATGAGAAATTCAAACCACGAAAAATTATCAAGCAAACAATTTTTTCCCGTGCAATAAAACCAAAATTTCTCCAATATTAATAACAAGTATTTGAAAAGAAAATAAATAAAGAAAATAAGTCACTAAGGTGAAGAAAAATTAGGCCTCACATCATTACAAGAAGATATCTTTGCACCGAAGGTTTTTATCACTTGCACCACAATTGAAGAAATCTCACATCCCATAATTACAAACAAGATTTAAAGCTAAAATCTAAAATGTTATGGATCAAAAGCTTGATTAACATGCCTCGAACCTTGCTATTTGCAATCATCAAAATTTCTAATTCAGTTTCCCCATATAAATCTCATCACAGTAATTCTCAACAAAATAACAAATATTATCAATCAAAGATCTACATTGTCTGATGACATCACTAAAATAGGCGCATAAATCACTAAAATAGGCATAAAAATCACATAAGGTTGTTTCGCAGACAAACAAAACCAGAAAAGAGCATCCATAATAGATACAAGAATGTAAATCACTAAAATAGGCGCATAAATCACAAAGGAGCATCAATAATAGCTACAAGAATTGTAAGTTACATGAACTTCTAAGCGCTATAATAGTTGTAAGAACCGAAAACAAACTGCTAAGAGAGTTAGTCACATGACACACAATCCAAACAATCATGGAATAGAGAACTCGCACTTTAGAAATTCAAAATAGCAACAAGAATTGAAGGCTTGAACCTCAAACTAGCTATTGGAAAATAGCTCCTAACACAAATCTCAAGCCAATGAATTTGTATAAGTATGGGCGGAACTATGTGTACTTGGGGGTGGGCTGCCCACCCTCAAAATTAATTTTAAATTTTAAGTAATGATAATTTTAGAATTTTGCCTTGATTTCTCTTCTCAAAATATATATATATATATATATATATATGTTTTGAGGAATTATCTATTATTTGGGGGAGTTTGAAATTACCTCTTAATGTGTTTTTATAGCTTCTTGAATTTTCATTCTTGGGTTGATGCATGCAAATTTCAATTTCTTTTAGTTTTATTGTAATATGAATGCTCTATTTATTTTTTGTTTTTTTTATTTATGATACCCTATGATGGAAGGCAACCTATGATCATGAGTAGGTGGTGCTTTGGACATGTTTTACTTTGGGTGTGCTGGCTTCTTTGGTGCTTTGGCTCTTGGGCTAATTTGGGTTTCTCGGTTTGGGCTTGATTGTCTCGGGTTTAGCTGTCCCTTTTGGTGAGCTGTTGTGTTCTTCTTCTAAATTCAGCTCATTATGATAAGTGGAATGCATTTTCAGCTCATAAATTGGATGTCCTGGTTCTTTCCCTCTCTGTTGACCTTTCGGTTTCTCCCCTGGCTCTTGTACTCCTGTTCCCGTGGCTGGTTGTTCCTATTCCCATGGTTGTTCGTTCCTGTCCCCCGCGTGGTCCCTTCGGGTGCTGCTCCAGGCGCTGCATGTTGGTCTTTTGGCTCCGTTTTTCTGGTTGGTTCGACTGGAGGTGGTTTGGGCAGTTTGGCTTCCTCTTTTCACCTATATATATGGGATGTTTTGAAGCATTTAGAGGTTGTTGTTTGATGAGCAAAGTTCTCTAAAAAACCTGAGGGTTTCTTCTTGGAAAAGCTTGCGAGCTTGTTCCACTTCTCTTCTCATCTCTTCAATTTCGTCTTGGGCTTCTTACCTACTTCTTCTCTCCACAAGTTTCCACTCCACTTGTATCTTTCTTCTCAAGCTATTGGAGGAATTGGTTGGCCGGTTTGGTAGCATTTGCCGGAGGAGTTTTGTGGTGGATGTTGGCCCAAAGTTGTTGTGGTGGACCCTTGGTTTGCATGTCCTTAAGCACTTCTTTTATTTTACCTACTATTTCGTTGTATGTGAGGTGACCACTAGTTGGTTATTCTGAGGGTATTCTTTGGAGGTTTGCTTGGTGTTGGCTTTCTAAATTTTGAATCGAGAAAGGTTCTACTAGCCCTTGTGTTCTCCCTTCTGGTTTTTGCTATCTGGTTGTCTGCATCATGGGTGCTTATGCATTTAAGCACCAACATAGCATCTTGTTCATTAATTTATTAATAGATTTTTATTTCTTTATCTCATCCTACATGCTTATTATTTTCGCAACAATTTTGTCAATTTATACTGCTATATGAGAGAGAGGATTTTTGCAATGAAGGTTGTCAAGTATTGATAGCATTTTAGAATGAGTGGTGACTACATTGAGAAATAAATATTTGACTTGATTCTCAATAAAGTTGTATGCAATATTATAAAAGAAATATAAAATAGATTGCAAAGCTTATAATGATTATTTCATTCATCGGTCATAATGAAATACAAAGAATTATATCTTACACATTTTTTTATTTTTGTATATCTAGTTATTTATATAATGAGTTTGTCCACCCTCAATAAAGAGGTTAGTTCCACCCTTCTATAAGCCTTATCAATAGATTAAGGAGCAAATTTAAATTGAACTAGATGAGAGGTTAGCCAAAGCACAAACATAAAATATCATGTTCTCATATGCATTTATCATAGGCATCCGAAATAACTAAAATTGAAAAATAAAAAATTTATAAAAATTAAAATTAATTGAACTTTAACTGAGCATACACTCGCACGATGAAGATCTCCAACAATATATAACTAAATAAAATCAAATAATCTTCATCTCTTGATAGGCTAATGGTTAATTAGTGACTCACAATAGATACAATGTTCAAAATTTGACCAGTAACAAGCGGTTCAATTCAATTTGGTTTTATATTCGCTGGTTCAACAAGGGATAACTAAATTAAACCGATTATATTGCAATCTCTAGATACACTAATCATCAAGCATTGGCTTCGAATAGATTCAGCCAATCAAGGCCCCTCATATAAATGAGAATGGCAACAACCAAAATTTATTCTTAAAGAAAAAAATGAATTAAGCCAAATACAAGCAAGAAACAATTAGAAGTACCTTTTGTCACCTGCTTCCACCATTCATCTATTTTCTTCCCTTTCTGGAGCTGCTCACTATTTAAATATTCTCGAATAGCAGAGTTGAAGGACCAAATGCGTAGAGTTTGACTACTACTTATGAAGTCCAGAAGTATATTTTGTGGGCTAGTGCTGCTTACATCTGTGTTCTTATCTTCCTTGTGGAAGGAAATGATCTTTCTCGTTGTCTCAACCTGGTGGCAGAATTAGACAAGTCAAAAGTCAAAGAGATGACATTCCGTAACTTTCTTTAGAAAAAACTGAATGAGAAGCCAATAATAACATAAAATCACGGTGGAGCATAAAAAGATGAATAGAAAAAGTGAAATCCAGGAAAGTGATGATTTTTCTACCAAGATAAAGAATAAAAAAAGGAAAAAGAACACAATAAGATGAATTGGTTCTGATTCATTTTAGTGAAATGAATATCTTTCAAAATAAAAGAAATTAGATTGAGTGTAATAAGCATTTATTTATACCAACCTTCTTTGGATCTGAGCTTAAAGTGTTCATTACAATCTCAATACGAATAATTTGTGCAAGTAACCATGTAACATGATTACTTCGAAGATCTCCTTGAGGTACTCTAGAGGCAAGTTTGTTAACAAAATCAAGGAAATCAATGCACCCACTCTTCATGAGAAAGAAAAATATATCCGCAAACATAAGCCAATCCTGCCAACACTGAACTTCTGCAAAAGTAAATGGATCAATAGACAAGCTATAAGCGTTGCAATATGAGCAAATAAGAAATGATGATTATAAATAGACATTCAGGGAGTAATTCATGCCAAACGTTTACAACATATATGGCAAGCTGAGCAAGGTAAACATTCAATAGCTAAATGTAAGTAAATCACACATAAACAGACAAAAAAATAATTATCCTTATAATTGAATTTAGTTAAACAGATATTCATAGATCGAAACATGATGTTTTTAAATGTTGAGTACCAATAAGAACAACAACAAAAGAAGTTTTCATTCTTGCACAAAATAATTGAATTTAGTTAAATGTAAGTTAATCACACACAATAAAGGCAACTGTCATAATTTATCTTATTCGACTATCTATGGTTCAAAGCTTGGTACAGCTGTAATCAAACTAGACATTACAATAAACAAAATATCCCTCAACCCGTGACATTTAAACAAAAAAATCTTTGACTTTTTATTTGCACAAAAACTACCTAAAAAGCTATACCTGGCCTACAAAACAACCCTTAAACCTATTTTATTTCGTAGAACCACCTAAAAGTTAAACCTCACAAGCACATAAGCATAACATATACACAAAACAATTTTTTTTAATTTATTTTCTTTGCAAAATAACCACTAAAAGTTATCCCTGATACACATACACTCACAGATATCTCATTTTCAAATAGACTTTCAAAGAGGACAGTCAAGTAGCTTTTCAATCTTTGATTAAAATAAACCTGAACAACTCCTATTTACTTAACTTACCTATAGAATGTAGAATCACAGAAAAGATTTAAGAGGGAATGAGTACAGTGAGACTTTTCCTTAATAATATATATATATATATATATATATATATATATATATATATATAGTTCACATCCATGCCCAGTATGCAATTTCTAAGCAAAATAATATCCATGAAACTGCAACAATTTCATGAAATAGTAATACCCGAACACTATAAAGAAAGAGAGAAAAATATGAAAGATGTTGAACTTGATTTGAGACAGTAGGCTGTCTTGATTTTCCTGCATTGCAGCAAACCCATGAAGAAAATAGTCATGATCTTTTTAATCATGGGACGTGGGTCTCAAACAAACACACAAAAAAATGAAAATGTTTAAGTTCACATTAGTAAGCGAGTAGATAATAGCACATCTGGCAGCATTTCCCGATATTTCTCTGTTAAAACTCTTAGGTGAAGTTATGTTTGTTTTTGGATTCAAAGATGGTTACTTTGGCATGACCCTTGACAAGAGTAATAAGATGTGTGGATCAGTATATGTTTTCCTTGAGTTTCCTGTTCCTTCTCCTTGCCTTCATAATGCAACTCATTTTGATAGGCTTTAATATGCATATCATATTGCTAACGAAAATTGGACAAAACAACCGTTTGCTATGACAGAAACATCCAAATAATGATATTGACAATGAAATTTCATTATCGGCCTTGCAAGCCTTATCTTGATGATGGCACCAAACACAACCATTTACTCACTCTCTCACACACTCTCAAGATCACTTGCACAGATGTTTCACTGTAGCAAATGGAATAAAATACAAGTGTTGGGTTTTTTTAAAGTTCAATTTAAACTAACAGAATGGAAGGAAACTTTTTTCCTTCCATTTTTCTCTCCATTTTCTTTCAAACCAAGTCGCAAGCATAATTATCTAGTTAAATGATTCCATAATTAAAAAAAATAGGTTCTCAAATTATTTGAATAGGTATGATCATGAACAACAATTAAAAAAAAAAACAGAAAGCAAACCGGGATTCTGGAGCACCTGAGTTTGAAAATTTCAGTAATTCAATAGTTCGTTCAATGACAGCCTCACAAATCATTTCAGGAGAGAAAACTGCTCCAGGTGTTGGCGGTTGAGCTTGCTGCCTATAGCAAGGAGCAACAAGAAGCACGCGTCTCCACCAATCCGGAGAAGGAGTGGTATGAAGAGCATGCCTTAGGCAACGAAGTGCCCTCTCCCAATCTAAACTACCTCTTTGTATAGAAAAGGCAAGTTCCTGCCAAAAACATAAAAGCCAATTATGATCAACTCCAGAGGCCATAATTAACATATTAAGCATTTAAGGAATAAAAGATTCAAATGATAAGCAAATAGAGTCCTCATACAATTTTTTCTGCCACCTATCATTGAGAATACTGTTTTACTTGCTTAAACTTCAACATTTATATCAAATCGTTAACTCTCTGAATTTGTTTCACCTTCTAAATTGGATCTGTTGCATTCAACCTTAGTGGAATTTACCTATGTTGGCTAAGTTGATGTGGTCAAGCGCTGAGGTAGGGTGCGCGAGAAAGAGGTTGTAGCTAATCACTCATGAAAGTTTAAGGTGTGGGAGATATAGTGGCAGGTGCGACAAATTTACTAAGAGGAGAGGTATTGTGTGCAATCTTTAAGTCGACATGATTGGGGCTATGGGAGTGCAAGGTTGGGCGCAATTGAGAGGAGAATCAAAAGAGAGTATCGAGGTAGATCTAAAAAGACTTGGTTAGAAAATATTTTAAATGATATTTTTATTAGATTTAAATGAGAATTTAACTGATAATATGACACACTAGAGAAAAAGGAGTTAAGTAGCCGACCCCACGTAGTGGGATAAAGGCTTATTATTGTTGCTCTAGATAAGCAAGCCATCGGACATTATAGTGTTGGTTCTCATTGGCAGTATGGAAAGAGTATGTCCTATCTAAGAGGTCAGAACATGGAATTGCCAGCATTCTGTTGAATGATTGATTCCCTAACTTGGTAAGCTGGTCAGGTTGCTTACAACACCTGGCAACAACCGGCAACTGGTGTGGCTGTGAGACTATGCGCACAGCATTTAATTGTTAGATGTTTTATTTGCAGATACGTTTTATTATTCTGGCGTCTTTTGATAAACATGCTATTTATGTTTTATATTTAATAGATTTTTCTTTTATCTTTCATCATGCTAATTAGCAATGGATATAGAATTCAATAAGCATACTTGTGGGGTTGTCATTGGTCGATGTGGTTAGCGGTGGAAAAAGTTATACAACGTTGCACTTTGCTCATCCCATTCTTTTTCAAAAGACAATGACTATAATATTGTTGGGTTCAAGTGTGATTAATGGTTATAGCAAAGTTGCCCAGTAAAAGTCAATGAGATATTTTTAACAGTGTATCTAACCTCTATGATTTTATATTATTATGTTATTTATGTCCAAATAAGTATTTTTTAGACTATATTGGGGTGTAAAACTGCCATACTCTCCTAAACCAATAAAAGCAAGTTACAAATAATTTTGCACTTGATTAAAAGTATAATTTTATTTCAATTACAAAGATCAATGAATGATTAAGAAAAACAATACAGCATTGTACTATTGCACCTAGAAATAAAGATAACTTTTATTGAGATGAAGCTCTAAACATAAATGTTCAACATTGGAGTTAATCTTTCCATCTCCCCAATATATTAGATAAAATTGACTAGTGTTTTCATTCATTGGAAAACAAATATTCTCATTATTATTGTGAGATATAAAGACAAAGAAAACCCCCATTTATAACTTCTTGCAAAAGAAATAAAAGCTTATTCCCTAGTCAAACTAAATAAAAAAGAGCCACGTATGCTTGTAATAATTTCAATGACTTATGATGTCTATGATACAAACTAAATGAATAGCTAAAAAATTGATGAGATTAAAACCATTTACAAATAAGAAAAATACAATAGAAAGCTATTGAAAATTTTACAAAAATGAATGGAAATGGGAAAAAGAAATGACTATACAAGAAAGCCGAACAAAAAAACTTAAGCCAAGTTCTAGTTCAATTTGCGGGTAAATATGCAAAGGTTAGAAGATACGTATAAACAACACAAGCAAACAAAGTAAAATGGTATTATCTTTACCTCTCCATGTAATGGTTCTCCCAAGACACTTGGATAGGTAATTGGTGAATAACGAAGATTTGCTATAGGTTCACCAGGTACATTTGGGTAGGTTTGAGACAAAAAACGATGAGTTCCAAAAGAAGGACAATGAAGATGCTGATCTAACATTTGCATGTGGGAGGCCACCATATCCCTCCTTCTATGGATCTCCAAAATGATCCCAAACAAAGACTCATCATCAGGAATGTTATCAACAAATTGCAATCCACTTCGGATCAACTCATAGAAGGGAATGAGGCATCTATCTTCATCAACCAACTTCCATATGACATCCAAGCAAATGTGCATCCATTCAAATGGAGGCCTCTCTGTCTTCCAACCCTTTGCAGTGTCAGATTCGTCAATGCCTAGATTTCTTTGATCCCAGTTAATTAGCCAATTAGTCATGTGAGAGAAAATCTCTGCATTGGTTACTGGCTTTAGGTTGGACTCGAGAGCTATGAGAATGACTTTGCTTGCTAACTGGCGTAGATAGCTTATAGCAGTGGTTCTAACAGATTGATTTACCTTCATAATAGGAAGTTGACCAGGGCCAGCAAGATCAGAAGGCTTAACTGGCGAGAGACTTGGCCCAGAAGACTGCTCAGCTGTAGACTGGGTAGGGGATCCAATGCCCTGCATTGATGGAAGGGGAGATGCTGGCGTAGATATAAAGGAGCCAGAAGCATTAGGACCTGAAGAAATAAGAGAGGTCCCTGTAGAACCTACAACAGCAGTAGACAAGCTTACTGCCATTGTTGGACTCCCTGGCCCAGATGATCCCTCAGCAGAAGAAATAGTGGAAAGGAGCGATGGAAGGAATGAATCCCACTTGACATGACCTACGCTGCTCAAGCTTCTTAATGCAAATAGAAGAAATTCAGATTGTGGTACATGGGCACAGCACTGGACCACAAAGGCTATTAGAACTGATTCTGTAACAGCACGCAGTTGCTCCTGATCCTGAAAAGATTCTAAAGTATGAACCAAAATACATATTGAAGCAAAAGAAGAGCATCACTCAAAGAAATGCCTATGGATGGGTGCTTACTTGTATTTGCCCTTGCAACTGCACAAAATCTAATAGGAACTGCTGATTTCGAGGAGGAAGATCTCTGTTGGGAGCAGTTACTCGCTTCTGCATCTTGTTTCTGATGGTATTGATCATTCATTGATTAATAAGTTCACAGCAAGAACCCTTCTATAGAAAGCAAGGATAAATTTACAAATGAAGAATGATTCTTTTTCTTAAAAAAATGCACTCAATAATCTAAATACCCCCAAATGATGCCTTTACCACCTATGTCAAATATTTGCATTATCTTTGAACTTGCTTGAAGTCTAATCATCTATAGTACTATAAAAAATCACTTGATACTCTGCCCTAAAGAAATCACGACAATTCATCTATTAGTTCATATAAAACCATCTCAAAATTCCCATTCTACATCCAATTTTGAAGGTATCTACGATTGCATGCAACTTAGTTATGCACAAACTCCAAAACAATGAATAAAACATCCTCAGCATTCAATATAAGGAAATGTTGCCCAAAGCCATACAAGTCCTCAATAAAAATTTTAAAGTACGAGTCTTTCTATCAAAGATAAACTTAACAAGTGTTTGATCTATCAAAAATACTACAAAAGATATCAAACACGATAAATTTTAGTTGCCAATATTGAATAAATTTTATTGTATATCATGACACCAACATAAATTTATTTAGCCGCTTGTAGATTAATTTCACCGCAATAAACAACCCAATATGCATCATATAAATCTCTAACATTTAGGTTAAAACAATGATTGTTGATTTTTGTTAAACCCATGAATAGTTTAGTTTGGTTTCGTTTAATTTCCTATGTATTTTTAAATCCAAATAAAGCCTGAATATGCTTATTTGGCAAAAGCACAGATAATTAAGAATTTTTAAGGCACATGCTTGATTGCAATGATTTAAAGTTTCGTCATTATCTATCTACATTTCTATTATTTTAAAAGAACATTTTGACTTTTAAATTACTCATAAGTATACAATTACATACATATAAGCTTAATTTGTAACCTAAATTCTAAATTATAAACAAGTAATTTGTAAAAAAATTATTCTTATTTATAAATTAATAAAAATGCAGGATTTCTATACAAACTAATGATTTGTCTATCTCAAAAGCGATTTTACTATGGTTTATAATTTTTTAAGAGTCTGCAAATTTTCTATAAAGATAAGCAATTTCATGTACATTTTAGCTTTCAAGGCTTATTTATATTATCATTGAGAACTTTAAAATTAATAATAATTTTTAAATTCAAAATATGATAATATATTTTATTTTTAAGGCATATATTTAATTTCAGTGATTTAGATTTTTGTCATTTTGAATTTATAATTTTAATATTTCTAAAATAAAATTTTTAACATGTGCACTTAAGGCATAGTTACTTTTAACTGGTATTATCAACGGTAGCTCGAAACTTAATCAGAATAAAACCTCTGACATCTAAATATTACTCAAATCAAGGACATTTAAATTATTCACATTTTAACCAATAGATTGGACAGTGGACTAAAGTAAGTTGATGAAAGCCATCAATCTTACTTTTTGCAAATAGCAACAACAATTTTTTAGGGCAATAAATAACCATGCTCGACATGCTACCCACAGCTCAGCTAAATTAGAAGCAAGCAAGCTTGAAATTTGTGTTACAACTTGAGTTACAAATTAACAATCTTGAAAAATAGTTTTATTGACTACTTTTTTCACCGTGATAAATATTACTTACAACTCATGAACAAGCTAATTAAAGGCTCAACAATATGATCAATAACATACTAGTTTGAGACTCCACAATAAGAAGGTATTTAATGTCATTGTGTTGTAAAGTGTCACACACAACACTCTACGTTAAATAAGGAATAACTAATAAATCAAATATTTGTCTCACAATTATTAATCGATAAGTGTTAAATCTTTTGCTCTTGCCTAAGTCGCATTTAGGCATGCATGGATGCCTTCTTATGCTCTTTGATACAAGATAACAAAATCCCTATTCTTTGCAGTCTTTACTCCAATTTTGCACCATGCTTCCCTCAGTAAAAGCTTGAGATGTTCAATTGAGTTATGTTTGCAAGATCCTTCGCTCGTTCTCCAAATGAATTTTACACTATGTTCTCAATTTTTTTATTATCCATATCTCATTTTCAATTATGTTACTTGACTACTATTTGTATGAGGTTGTTCTGTACTTGCTATTATTAACTATTGTTATTGCTTCTTTTATTACAATTTAGAGTTCTCAAGGGCTTTGTTCTTAGAAAAAACTCAAAACAATCCCCTAACTATTCATATACAGCCATTAGTCCCAAAATACATATTTATCTACTTTAGTCTCTTGACTATACAAAATTGATCTCAAATAGTCCCTGAGTGGCTAAATTGGGATCAATTTTATATGGCTGAGGGAGTATGATCAATTTTGTAACCCAATTTTCATTAATTTTTACATAAGGGACTAATATAGGTCAATTTTATATAGTCAATAGATTAAATTGAAAAAATATGATATGTGACTAATGATTATATACGAATGGTTCAGGGACTATGCTAGGCTTTTTATTATTTTGTTATTAATATGCAAGTTGACTTACCTTACATAGTTTTTACAAATCGTAGTTTCTTTTAGCCTTCAATTTTACCCATCAAACTTCTTTGTGGTACGTTCAGTTGTATTTGTAGCTACATGGAAGCATTAATTTTAGTAATTGTTGTAGTTTTCTAAGATAATTGCTATAAGGCATAAATTAGTTCACCTATTAAAAGTTGCATTCTTTATGGTCAATTTCTCATGACAATATAGATAAATAGAAAAGCAGGTCATGCTTAGCAGCTTTTTAAAAGTATGATTATATGTACGCATTATTTAGGAAATAGGCCACATGCTTTCAATTTTTTATTTTAATATTTTGGTACAAGATAACTACTCTAACATTCTAATTTTGAGTGCATCTCCGGTCATTTTTATTCCTAAATATTTTTTGAGTAAAATAACAAAATTAGTCTCTTGACTTTTTAAATATGCTCGCTTTAATCCTACACACGTTTAGGTGTTCAATTTAGTCCCTTATAGGCATAATTCATCAAATTTTAATCAATTTGGTTATAGAGTTACCAGGTTTATCATTTGCTTTGGATAGAAATAAGTGGTGGAAAACTTTTTTGGGTAAAACTATGTGAAATTTACTGAAATAATAGTGTATTGCATTGCAAAATAGTGCATGTATAATTAATCAAAATGCAATTAAATGGTTTAGCACTTAATTATATGGAAGATAATTATCTCAATATATCCAAAAGTTACAATTTTTGTATGATACCTTCTAAATTGGTTTTCCTTTGAGATTGATCCTACAAAAAAATGCTTAAAACCATCTACCACTCTCTAATAACATAGCAATATATTTATATGCTTACTTGATGGATCTAGCATTCCTAATGAGTTAGATGACCAAATGTCAATATTATTGATTTGTCTCTTGAGTACCCATCAAGTGATCTTCCTAAGATTTTGATGATGTCAATAGATTTCATTTATCTTAAACCAACATAACCACATAATGGCTTCACTAATTTCATTTTACCACCACATTCAAGCCTTTATCTTGTCAAGGTTTTTGAAAAGATATATCGCAGTGATTTCTCACATTAATGTCGTCACTATAGGACTTCATTCCATAGTTATGAGAAGTTTAGGGCATGCTTCTTCCACCACCATAGATACCTCCTTTAACTCTTCAAGGAAGCTTCTTTTTTTTTATTTGGGAATTGAAACAAAAAATACTAAACACTTTCTAAATTGATCCATTAAAGAGAAACATGGTTCATTTTATTTTCATTTTTTCATGTAATGCTTTTATTTCAATTAATAGAAAATCATAGTTTTCACTTCATTTAATATGGATGTTTTAGTCATTTCTTTTTAAGTAGTCTTGTAGATAAAGGTTCTAGTGCTTGTATTAATTCATATTATTTTCTAATAAATATTTTATCATGATGGTAAGGATTAGTAAGTTGAGTTCAAGTGAGTTAGATTCAATTCAAAATAAAAAAATTTGGTTTCCACTCTAGTCAATTTTAATTTAAGTTGAACATGATCAATTTCAAGTCCATTTTTGGGTTAATTCGATCCAGAATATTAATTTAAAAGATTATGGATATGTTTTAAAGACCTCAGAACCTCATGCAAGTAATCATGTAAACCTTCAAACAAGAAGCTACTCAACCCACTTCCCAGCGCTTTCTCTGTTTCCAATGATCCTCATTCATCTGCGATCATTTTGTGGCAAATTTTCAAGTAAAGTCTCTGCCTCCATCTCCAACTAGTCATTAAATGTTAGTGATATTATAAGTTTAATTATTTAGGTTCAAAAATGTCATTCACACCTAATCCCTGAACCTTAAATGTCACCAGCAATCATGTAACCTTATTCGAACAATGTACTCAGCACAATCTTGCCACACGGCACAACTCACTCACCCACCCACCCCCCTCACTCAACCACTATCACTCTCCTCTCAACTACCCAAGCAACCTAACTCCACCTTGAAGGCAAGGAAAAATCAAAGGTGGATCATCATATTCAACCACTGTGTGCACTTGGTATACTTCAACCACTGTGTGTACTTGGGATACTGCACAAAAGTACAAGCCTATTCTAACTACTAGCAATTAGCTTCAGTAAAAACAACTCCATTATACTTCTAGTGACAGAAAATAGCAAATCACTCTTCCTAAACATTCCTAAAAGTGGAAGAGGCTTACCTGACTATTATTCCCTATTCGGATTAGGGTGTCAATGCAACATAAACTAGGTTAGATAAGATAATCGAAAGGTGAAAATGGTTCAAAAACATTCTACACTATTCCCTCAATAAGGATTAATCAGTAAAGACCAAAAAAAAAAAGAAACTTCCAACCCATCTAACGAGCATGATCACCGTCCAGAGACAGCAGACGTTTGGAAAAAGTAACTGACTGCGGAAAAAGGAGCAAACTTACGCTATTTCCCCAGATACATCATCAGATTTCTGTCCTGAATTCATCTGCCGATAAAGAACATAGCACATATATTCAATCAATAGAACCAAAAACTGAAGCCAAGATTGGGACTTTGAGAGAGAAGAAGACCGAAAAGGGGAGGAGGTAATACCCCAAGATAGAGGTTGAAGAGATCGACGATGGCGATCCTGGCTGGATGGAGCTGAGTAGGCCTGGAAGTCCTCTGATTCTGGTCCATTATCGCCGTCACTCTCGAGGTCTCGAGTCTTTGAAGGGATTTTTCGCCGCCAATACACTGAACGGAGTGAGGCGGAGGGGTTTCGACTTTGCGGGTAACTTTAAAGTACAAGTTCGTGTAGGATTTAATTTAAATAGTATTTCATAAATCCTTCTAATCCGGATTTATTAAATTTTTAGAGGGCTAAATTGATAATTGTTTAATAAGAAATAGGTCAAATCTTAATAAATTATATGAGATAGTTTGATAATGGTATTCAGAGCTTAAGACATTTAATTTATATGATATTTGTGTTTTAAATATGAATTATTTATTAATTTTAATTTTGATTAACATAAAAAAATTATAATTATGAATATTATAATTAGGGTTTTAGTTTAATTATTAATAGCTTATTTAGGTGCTATTTTAATTATTATTTCAATGATATTTATAATGATAAATATCTAATTATTTTTTTAGTTAAAAAGTAAAATAATTAATCATGTTAGTACTATTTACATTAATTTTTTATATATTATTTTAGAAAATTTTAATTACTGATTATGCTTATAATTATATCTTAATCAATTAAGTATTATATCACTAACTAATTATTTAATTAATATTTACACTAATAATCACCTAATTAAATATTTATATTTTAAATTATATTAATTAAGCTAATTAAATTAATACCTAATTAAGAATTGTACATGCACTTAGGGGTGTCAAAATAGGTTTTCGGTCTAAGTTCGGGTCCAACCCAAAATTGACCTGCCTTCAACTGATCAGACCCAAACCCAAGTTGATTAGACAAATGTGATAATAAATTCATACATGGACCTGACCCACCCCTAACTCAGTTGGACCCAGCCTGATTAGTCAAACTGGTTAGAAATTCAGGCCTGAACTCGACCCACCCTAACTCGGGTGGACCCGACCTGGCCTGATAACCTTATTGAGGGCAAGAAAGGTGATCGAGTGCACTAGGGGTGCAAATGAGTGGAGTCGAGCTTGATTTAAAATATTGGATCGGAAAGTCATATTCTTGTATTATTTTCTTGGAAATTATTTTGGTAAACATTATATGGTGGTCATTTGTTTTTCTTGCCTAGGTTTGAGAAAAAGGTACATCATTCTTACAAAGTTTTGGAGGTTAAGAATGATCTTGTTGCTTTTAAATATCTTCTCAATAGAAAAAAGTTCACTCTTGCTTTACTTAGAAATAATATATGTTTCATTAGAATTTGCTAAGTTAAATGTCACATTTTCCTAAGTTAGAGGTTTCCTTTCAAATGATTTTTTTTTTTTGTATATATTTATATGTGTTTATATTCTTTATAGTGAATTATTGTTAAGTCAATGTTTGAGTTAACTTATATGTGTTTTCATTACATATTCTAGAATGTCATTGGAACCAAATGTTGAAGATAATATTAGTTAGAAAATAATTTTGGAGACAGTTGATGAAGTATCAAATGTTAGATTGACTGAAAATGATGTTGTGGTGGAGGCAAATAAAGGTGTAGAAGGGGATACTATAGGCACATGTAATCAGAATGAAGATGCAAATCCAATTGCAACAAAAAAGGAAGAAGATATCATCTATTTGGGATGAGTTTAAGGAAGTAATACTTCCTAATGGATAAAGGAAAGAAGAATGCATTCATTGTAAAAAGAACCTATCCATAGGAACTACAGGGTAGAGAACACAATTTAGACGTCATCTTGATCGTTGTGCGACTAGGATTCGTTTCATAAGAAACCAGAAAGTACTTCAATTTCAGCCCAAGGAAATTGATTATATTATTGACAACTCCCAAGAGAGTGCTAGTTTGACCACATTTTCTTATGACAATTCTAAAGTACCAAAGAGTATATCACTGTGGGTCTCCGAAAGGATTCTGCTCACGTGGTTCGAATGTAAAGGGTACGATCACACTATCCCATAGGACAAAATGGTCGTAGACATTTACAATCGACACAAGTAGGCCGATGGAAGAGCATATGGAGTTATGCATACGATTAGCCATGGAGGATAGCG